GAAGGGGCAGCATGAACTAGCAGAAACAATACAGACCACTAGGGTCTCCTCCAGCTTCTAGATTTAGTCATTCACTCATCCATCCACTCACCCATGCATCTACTCATCCACCTATCCATCCATCCACCTATCCATCCATCCACCTATCCATCCATCCACCCACCCATCACCTACTTATCCTCCCACCCACTCATCCTTGTATTCACCACAGCCATCTATTGATCCCAACACCCAAGATTTACTTAGAATTCTTTGTATTTTTCCAGTGTATCTGGGAATGTAAATGAATCTCGATTCCTGCCTTAGAAAAGCCATCTAGTGGAAGGTGGGGAAATAGATAAATAAACAGATACAAGCAAGGCTCTCCATTTTGTAAACTTCATGAACGCAAGGACCAGGCCTGGATTCTTTCTCAGAGTTAGTTGTGAATGAATGAATGAATGAATGAATGAATGAATGAGTGAATGAATGAAACAAGAGTGTCATGACACAGTACAAGGAGCACAGGCTTTGGTCCTGACCAGCCTGGGTTCGAAACCCAGCTTTACGGGGCCCTGTGCAAACCCCGATCCTGCCCCTGAACCTCAGTGTCTTCACCTATAAAACGCACATTTTCAGTATAGTTTTAAGCATCAGAATGACATGTGTGAAGTGGCATCATTGCCACTCAGAATTGGTGGTGGTGGAACGACGGTGACAATCATCAGAACACTCGAGGCTGCAGAACCTCAGGGAACTTGCAGAATGGGGACCGAGCAAGGACCTGTGTGGAGGACGAGTCGGTTCTGGGCAGGAACCACCTGGAGGTGAAGCTGGTCTCACGGTCGTGTCTGGAGCCGAGCACTTGGAACTGAGGGACAAGACAGGGGGCGAGTAGGTTGGGAACAGATCATGGAAGGAAAGGAAGTCGCTTAAGCAAGAGCTGGGAGCAAAACCCGTGTTTCCATTCTGTTTCTGTGCTTGTGCCAAAGCACGAGGGCTGGCCTGAGTCCGAGGGTCAAGTACGGGACAGACAGTCAGAAGGCCCCTCAGCTTGACGTCACAGGCTTTCTCCACAGCGCAGGCGGTCGAGCCGGATCATGTCCTGAGCCAACCCTAGCCACCCCTGTGGAGCCCAGAGTACAGGATCTCAAGTAGAATAAGACTCGGTGGGAAAGGGGGCCAAGATTGATTAGTGATGTCTGCCACGGGCAGAGGTGGGCACGGCCACCATGCACACGCTCTGTTCTGCCCCAAAACGGGACGATGTGAGTGTTCCTAGAGGACGTGCCCCACCCAGTCAGATCCTCACTGACTGATCTCACGTGGGCCAAAGCAAAATAAAATAATGCACCCAGGGACGCCTCCGCTGTGCTTTCTTACCAGGGTGCCGGCTTCCACACAGCCGACGTGACTGGATGACTGACTTAATGCTGAGAAAGCTGCTGAAGACAGTGGGGGCGGACACTGTCGGGGAACATTTCACGGAAGCCCAGAAACGGCGGGTGACCCTCCCCAGCTCGCAGCGGACGTCGAGGCCCAGCTGGCAGCAGGCTCGGGCTGTCAGCCTCTGTGCCTTCATGGTCGCACCACGCCGGACGCCCTCGGCCACCGTGACCCTCTGTGTCGGGCCCGATTCCCACAGACTCGTCCTTTTAGATGGCGTGTCCCGGCGTCACAATGCCTTCACGTTGAGCTTTGGGGGCTTTTCCTTTTCCAACCAGAAGCTGATTCAATGGGTTAGCTTTTCCCAGGCAGCCACTTTTCATCTCATGTTTAAGTTATGTCTTCCCATCTCCACATTTCATCGCAGCGCCTGCTAACCGAGCCTGTCTAATCGCCTATTTCCGCAGCCAGACTGAGTCCTTCAGAGGCCAGGGCTCTGTTTAATCTGCCTCCGGATTCCTACACCCAACACGGCGCCTGCTTCATGGGTGGCGGCTTCACACAGAGCTTCTGCCGCTGACAAATCCTACACAATAAAAATATTCCTGATGCACAGAGGAAGACTCTTGTTCCCAGCGTGGTTCGTCTGTTCCTTTACTCCTCTGCAAGAAACTGAGCTCTCTGCATAAGCACCATGGAGGAAGCATAACTCCCAAAGTAGGAAGACGTGTCCCTCACCACTGCGGGAGGGGGCGTGTGACCGGCCCCGAGGGACGGCAGGTGGAGCACATGGCCCTGACCACGTGCCTCCTGTGTGAACACCTCTGCCCCCTGCATGGTCGGGGCTGGACCCTGCTGCCTGGACTTCCACCCCCAGCAGAGAAGGAGGCTAAGCCGAGGGCTCCCTGCCTTGAGAGCAGGGGTTAAAAGCTTGTCATCTTAATATGCTGGAGAAACAGATTATAGCTATTAGCTAACGGTAAAAAAAAGACGTGCCTAGCCCAGGAGCGTTAACGTGGACGCCTGCGGCATTCAAGGTGCTTTTACGGAGATGACCTCATTGTTCTAACATTCCCACGGGATAGGACAGGACGGAGAGAAGGGTCTCTCACTGGGTGCAGCTGGGGACAGCTCAGGGGTCAGCTGACACTCCCAGGTCGTGCAGCCCATCATTATGCCGGCATGTTCAGGGTCCCAGCACCCCACATTACGTGGCTTCTTCCTGTGGTGTCTTGGAGGCAGCCAGGTGAGGGGGCTTTCAGGGTCGGCTGGTCCCCTCTGCCCCGCCAAGTCCTGTCCTGCGGGTGGAAGATGACATTCCCCTGTCCATGTCCAAAGGGGGGCTCTGTTCGGGGCTCACAGTTGCTAAATTTGTCCGGGGATGCTAAGGCTACGCGCCCTTTGCAAAGAACTTGCCCCTGAGACACACACACAGGAAACTGGGGACGACAACTGAGACCTGAACGTTAGATGCACCAATGCTCGTGTGTGTGTGTGTGTGTGTGTGTGTGTGTGTGTGTGTTTGCGCGCGCGCACGCTTCCTGCTCCCACGCCAGCCAAGCAAGTCAGGTGTGTGTTTCCTGCAGCTGCTGTGACAAAATGTCACACACTAGGGTGCTTCAAACACTATAAATTTATGTTTTCACAGCTCTGGAGGCTGAAAGTCCAACATCAAGGTGTTGGCAGGGCAGCACCCCCTCTAAGGTGCTGGGGTGCTCCTGGGGGCCCCAGGGCTCCTTGGCTGTGGCTGCATCACTGTGCCCTGACGCCTTTCTCCTCTGTGACTGCTTGTGGAAGTTTCTTTCTGTGTGCACCTCTCGTCTCTCCCGAGGACCAGTCATTGGAGTCCACCCTCCGCCAGAGTGACCTCGTCTTCACATGGTCACACCCGCAAAGACCCTATTTCCAAGTATGGTCCCATTCACAGGTACTGGGGGTTAGAACTCCATCATGTTTTTTGGGGGGACACAATTCACCCCATAACACAGAGGATGGGAGCAGAGGTGAAGAAAATCAGTCTCTAATAATGAGCCAATAATGACAGCTGGCCCTGGAAAGATCCCAGGCTTTGTGCCTGCGCTGACCCAGCAAGGCGGGGCTGCCGGGAAGAGTCTCTCCTTCTTATTAAGGTCGCTAAGACCTTCTCTCTTCCGACATTCACCGATGATGAAAAATGCATTTAATTCTACCACGGCGGTGCGTTCATTTGCACCTTGCCTGAGATGGCCGGTGGAAATTAATGTGCAGCTAGGCATCTGACAATTTATCAATAAAAGCCCTGGTCTCTATACCTTTGAACTCCCGGAAGAAAATTAACCATTGTCACGAGGGCAGTGTGCCCCCACTTCCAGAGGCAGCGAGGTAATCAAGCTCTATCGATCCCCTTACTGTACAGCTTTAATTAGCAGGCCCCCAGTCTGCGGGGCCCCACAGGAAATCGCTGGACCCGTGTGCCTGCTTTTTAATTTCTAGAAACGACCTGATGATTATGAGCATGCCCACTTTACATATTTACACCAATTGCTTTTTCATTTAGTCCACTTTCCATTATGAAACACGTGGAAAGGCGTCCCAGATCCAGCTTCACTGGGTTCAAGCTGTGTCGCCGGGCGTCAAGTAATGTTAAAAGCACGTTCTCTTTCAGCTGAGTTATTATTTGGCCCTCAACCAAATGGATCTCAATTACTCTAAGGGAATGCATCAAGTAAACACATGTGGGGGGAACACAAAATGAACCAGCCTCACCGTGTTGACTCGCTGCGCTGAAATACATGGTGGGGATGAGCAGTGGAACTGGATACAAACATCTTTCCCACATTGTATCCTACAGCACAGAACAAACCGCTTCACAGCTGGAACTGGACACAACGGAACGAGTGTCTGCCATAGGCCGGGCATTCTGCTTGGCGGGGCTGGACACGGATTACCCCTGGCCGCACACCACCTTCAAAGACACGTCTTAGCATCCGTGTGTCGGAGACGCAAGAACAGGTTCAGAGCTCAGAGCAGCAGGAGGCAGCAGAGCTGGGAACCCAGGTCCAAGTCAACACCCATGTGCCTCCGGGACCCCTCAAATTGCCCACCGCCCCCAGGTCCTGGCAGGTCAAGCTGCTCACCAGTGGTTGTTGACAGACACCCAAGTTTCACAAGTCGGCTTCACTGACATACACACTGGGAGGCTGGCTTTACCCCAGATCAGGACTGGCAGGAGCGAAGGGTGAACTGGAGGGCAGTTCAGAGCCTGTAGGGTGAGTCAGACTCAACCTCAAGGCAGGACCCCTGCATTTGGCGAAAATGAGAAGGGTCAAAGCCGGACAGAGATGCCGAACGGGCCACACTGGAGGCCTCAGCAGAGGGCTTCCTCCTGCAGGACAGACGTGAGAGGCCTGGCCACAGCAAGGGGCAGCCCGGCTTCCTGGGCCCTGAGCTAGAGGCTCGGGTCTGCACTCAAAGACCCCTCACCCTCAGCCCACGACTCCATCTCAAGGAGCCCCCAGAGGTCCCTGGGGCTGTCCCAGGAAATGCACTTGTGAAACTGTTTGAGTTACAAGCTGAACTAACCGTTTTCTTGGTGAAACAGCATTTTTACTTGAAAGAACATCTGAAACGCAGACTGTGGTTATTCAGACCGGGTATTGGCAGGCGTTTTCATAAAAATTAACAAAGCAAACTGTCATCTCAAAAGAAACAGCTGGCAGTGCTTATGAGCAGTGACAACATGAGAGATAGCAAGCAAGAAAAACTAGAATTTCGGGAAACTCGCGTCTGTCCTTGGGAGGATGGCAGCGTCCCAGGATTCAAACCCTTTTCTGATGACATAAGCGGGGATATTAAAGAACGTGATTGTCTGATGTTGGTACGGTGATGTGTCAGTATTCGGAAGGTGTTCATAACTCGGTTGAAAGCGTTTTCCAAAGAGCCGGTGTGAGAGGTGATGAGACCACGTGTGCAAAGGGTTACTCAATTAGACCCACGCTGCCTTTTCTTCACACGGAGCCGAGAGAGAAGGATCAGAGTCCACGCGCAAGGAGCCTTGACAAACGAGCGCATGCTAAGTTTGGTGTAGATTAGAAAAGAATACCCATAGTTAACTGAACAATCTATTAAAACACTCTCGCATTCTACAGCTACATGTATGCACGTGTGGGACCTACGTTTCTGTACACGCGTCACCCACAGTGACATGCTGCCACAGCCTGGATGCAGGCGCGCACGCCAGAGCCCGTCAGGCTCTGTCACACCGGACACGACGGAGATTTGCAGAAAGAGAAAACGATGTCACTCTACTCCCTAACTTTTGCTTCGGAAAACATTTTGCTTTCATGAAGAATAAGTCATTTAGGTTTACACGTATTGAGCTTATTGCGCTTTTTAAATTAATAAATACACCAACATTTTAAACATCCCTCGATGTCCATCTCTCACATGGAAAATACATGTAGCTATAACCAGGAGAGCACGAGTTCTTTGGGTCCTCAAGAATTTTTAATAGAAGGGTTCCTAAGACTGAAAGGTTTGGGAATCACTGATCTGGGTCAGCAGCATCCTGGCTGTTACTTCTCGGTCTTAGGGCAGCTGAAGGTGTTTTATTCATCTCATTTTCTGGCCTTGTCTCCTGAGGGTGGTGTCTCTGGGGACTCTGACTGGCCCCTCTCCATCTGCCCCCTCCCAGCAGGAGCAGGCTGGGATTCCCGCTGGTGTTTGAGGGGTGCGTGGATTAGAGGTGAGCTAAAACCCAGCTGGGTGGTGTGGGCACTTACCTCCCAGGTCCCCCAGCAAACATGCTCCGTAGAGGCTGAGGGAAGCGCAAACCATGACCCTCACCAGCTGCTTCTCAGCTCCACCTGCACAGGGATGTGGGGGTCAAGATACAGCCACGTCCAAGGCACCGAGGAAGGGCTGGGAGAGGCTTTGGGGGGTAGGTGACCTGAGCTGGGCCCCCTTGGAGCTGGTGACTAGAAAGAGGGGCTAGTCTGAGAGCAGAGCAGTATGTTTCCTGGAGAGCAGAGGGTATGCGGGTTAGCGGGGGAGAGGACTGGAGGGGTGAGTTTGGGGATACAGGCAGAGGCAAGGGAGAGGACAGTGGCAGGGGTCTGTGCCTGCTAAGATGCTCAGTCAGACTGCGAATTACATGCAAATCCACAAAGCACGGCCCGATACCCAGCCCTGCCAGCTACTCTGCTTCAGGGAGCGTGACCTGCTGCCAAGAGTCCAGCATTCGGGGCCCAAATTTCTCCCAGACTGGAGGCCTCCACCCTCCTCACTGCAGCAGGAGCTGCCCACCGTCCTGATTCCGGCCCAGTCACGGCCTTCCAGAGTGGCCAGTGCAGCTGAGGTCATGTGACACCCCGACCATCTGAGGTCTCTTGCCCCGGGATCTGCCGTGGCCACTGCATGGCTGTGTCCAGGGACGGCTGCAGGGTCACATGTGGGGAACTGCTGTCTGCATGGTCCTGGGCACCCTGCCCTTCTGGGAGGGAGGCTGAGCACGTTGGGCAGGTGGCTATTGGGGTGGGGGGAGGGGGGCATGTAAGGAGCCCGCACAGAACCCTGGAAGCCGAGGGCGTCACAGAAGCCTGTGCCTCCGCTTCAATCCTGAGTCCCGAAATCATCTCCAAAGGCACATAATTAAACCACAAATCAGATAATCTGAGGGCTCTGTTTTGTTTTGTTTTGTTTTATCACATGTCACAAGTCTGGCGCAGTAAGCAGCTAAATTCTCCCACTCAGATGTCCCCGAGATGACTCACAGTCCTTTCCCCGACCAGCAGGATGCCAGCAGCGGGATGCCAACCCCTGCAGACTAGGATGAGACACCCCGGGCCCTGGGCAGAGCAAGTCGCTGCTCCTGCCTCAGTTTCCTCTTCTGTGAAAGGGGGTGAAGGCAGCATGCACTGCTCGTGGCTGCTAAGCGTGTACGCCGCAGACACTGGGTTACTCTTCTGGGCGCCCAAAGCAGTGTGTTCTCTGTGCACTTGTGTGTTTATGGAGATCTAGGCTGGGGCTGTGGCTTTACCACAAGACGCAGGGCCAGGCATCTGCTCTCTCCAGGCTCCATCTTCTCGTTGGCAAACTCTGGTCCTTCCTTCTCAGGGTCCCTGTTCCACACCTCCTGGGACAGCCTGGAAGAACAGGACAGTAACGTGAGCGCCACACCTCAGGCTGACTCACACAGGGTGTCCGGAGAAGGACTGCGGTGGGCCCAGCCCACAGATTCCTCCCTGGGCACCGAGAAAAGAGGCCACACGAGGCACGTGGGCAGCTGTGGGACTTTCGCCAGCACAGCCTTTCTCGCAGCAGGAGGCAGGAGAGACAGCAGGTCCTCAGCCCCTCGTGCCCTCCTGGGTTTGCTGCCTGGAAATGTCACAGTCGCCTCCTGCAGTCCCTTCCTTCCGTAGTGGCCGCCTGCTCCACCTGCTCCTGTCCCCGCCACCTCTGGCCTGGCCTGAGCCCCCATGAGGCTCACTTTTCCAGTTGCTTCCATGTCATAAGCTGGAAGCTTCCTTCTTGGGACAGTGGCTGATCCCGCTGGGTGTAGCATTTTCTTCCCAGGTTTCTGTTAGGAATCTGGTTTTATCTGGCAGGGGCCTGGGTGTCTTAGATTAATTTCTATTTCTGTCAGCTTGTTTAAAAAATAATTTATAAAAGATAATTTTATTCTAATGTGTCATCCCTTACGTTAATTCACTTTTTTTTTTCCTGTAGCAACTGTGTATAGTGCTGTGCTGGGAGCTGGAGACACCCAGCCTGCCCTGGAAATGCATGTTTTCTGCTGGAGGATGGAGCCCATGAAATGGACAGTTGCAACCAGCGGGGCCAGTGGGGTGATGGGATTTGCCCACATACACGAGGTCTGACAATTAAGTTCTCGAACTTGTTGCAGCGATGTTGCTAACCTTTTTGGACATCAGAGGGATGATTCATTATGAATTTGTACCAACTGGACAAACAGTTAACCAAGTTCACTATTTGGAAGTGCTGAAAAGGCTGTGTTAAAAAGTTAGACGACCTGAACTTTTCACCAACAATTCATGGCTCTTGCATCACGACAATGCACCAGCTGACACGACACTGTCTATGGGGGAGTTTTTAGCCAGTAAACAAATAACTGTATTGGAACACCCTCCCTACTCACCTGATCTGGCCCCCAATGACTTCTTTCTTTACTCCAAGACAAAGGAAATGTTGAAAGGAAGACATTTTGATGACATTCAGGACATC